GATGTAGAGCAAGATCGAGGAGCTCTCGTCCACATCGCCTTCCATGTCGTGGGAGCCCGCAAAAGACAGCTGCTGGCTCCACGCGTTGGCGACGCCGTCGCTCCCCAGCGTAGCAATCGCCTGTCTATTGTATCCATACAGCTGTCCAACCAAGCTCCCCATCGATCCGCGCATCATGCTTGCGCTAAGGCACGGGTTGCTCTGGAGACAAGGGTTCTTGGTGACCCCGTGGATCACGGCCGATGGGGTATAATTGACTCCGTGCAACATTGAGGTTCCGACAGTCGAATCCTCCTCCACGCCTTGGGGGTCATCGCCCAACACTGCATCGCAGCATTGGCATGTGTCATCGACTGTGTCCGTAGTCCATGATGCATCAACGTTGATGGGGTAGTCCCAGGTTCCCGAGGTTGCATCCTGCTGCCCAGCGGCGGGTCCAGGACCGGTCGCGACAGGATCCTCGGGGGTCATCGTGGGGGGCGACGGCGGTGGTGGCGTCGGAGGCGGCGGTGTGGGGGGCGGCTCCGTCGGAGGCGGCGGTGTGGGGGGCGGCACCGACGGAGGCGGCGGCGACGGCGAGGCCGACGGCGGCGGCGGGGAGGGCGACATTGACGGAGGCGGCGTGGAAGGTGGCACAGACAGTGGTGCGGAGGGTGGGGTGGAGGGCGGGGTGGAGGGCGGAACGAAGGGTGGCGTGGAGGGTGGCGTAGATGGTGGCTCAGCGGGCGGCTTGGAGGGTGGCGTGGAGGGTGACTGAGAGGGGCGGTGGTGGCGTCGGTGGCGGCGGTGACGGGGGCGGCACCGATGGCGGCGGGGACACGGAGCACTCGGTGCAGCCAGAGCAGCCGTTCCAGCTGCAGAGTATATGCCACGGGTCCGTCTTGACCGCACAAAACGGCTTGCACGCATTGCACACGTCCCCGCAGGCCGAGCAGCCGTTCCATGAGCACTTTACCGACCATGGTTGCACTCGGCGCCGCACTCGGAGCAGCCGTTTGAAGAGCGCGTGCTGCAGCAATAGGTCCCCCGCGGGGAGATAGGACCCCCCCCCCCCCTCA